TAATTGTGGTAGAACATTGCATTGGATTTAATTATGCTACAGCATCTAAATAATCACATCATTGTATTTTAGTTTCAGTGTCCTAATGTTGGATTATTTCTTTACCAAAGCTTTTGACATGTCCATTGAGCTTCAGCATCTGTTTTTTGGCTTTTGCTCAATTGTGTATGCTTTTCCATTGAACCTAATGTTTTATCATACTTTCCTCCTCTCTAATATAACATTTTTAAGGTTGCAGTTATCATTATATTATCTGTGATTCATTTACTTGTCTGGTTTTTGATTTTGTGTTCATCAAATATTTTCCCATGCTTATATCTAAATGGTTTATGTTACTCGATTATTCAAGAAACCAACAGACTGGAATACCTGATTCCAAAAAGGACATCTTTAAGACATCGTTTGCCTATGGGAGATCAGGGTTTTATTGATTTTGATGCTCATTTGCTTGAGATAAACCCAAAAAAGCGACCTACAGCATCTGAGGCTCTAAAGCACCCATGGTTATCATATTCATACGAGCCAATATCAGCTTGATTTGTCTGAAGGTGACATGCTGCGGCTGTCCTTGTACTCTTTCAGCCAAGTGTCTTGTTGAGAGGGAAAGCCATTCCTTTCATTTGCACAGTGCTTTTGTCCATTGACAAAATGCAATGGTCTTTTCTTGGCAAGGGTCGAGTTGTGTTTGAGTCTAGCATTATGAAATGATGTAATCATGGAAAGCACGATTTATTCTGGGGGTCTCCTTCATCTCAACATCTCAACATAATATGGTAGAAGGGGGATTGTAATCCTGTTGTACATGATGTGTGATAATTCAATTTTATAGCTATTTTAGTAGCTATATTATAGCTAGTGAAAGAGTTGGATATCCAATTATGGTTGGCTTGTAATGTGAGCTGTGAGTTGTATGTGTATCAAAGTTTGGAGCAAGGCAGGCACTTTCATTGTTTTGATTTTGCAACATACCACAGTTACGATGGATAAAGCTTTTGGAAAGTTTTTGGTTGAAAAAGCTTATGAAATGATAAAATTAAAATTGTGGAGATTGATTATGTATTACCAAATATTATTAACTTTTTTAACTTTTTATCTATTCAGTTAAAAAACTTAAAACAGTGTACTACCACCTATTATAAACTTTTTCTTTGTTGAGTTTTGTCGTCCGTTGGTTTTTATCCGACTCAAACCCGGATTAGTCGGTAGCCCAGTGGGCTTTTGAATACCGGTGGTCTATACCAAAAAAAACAAAAAATTCTTTGCTTAAAATTTGAACTTGCTACCTTTTATCTTTCTAAGAGGAAAATTAGCAATCACACGGTATTAGAAATAAGGCCAAAAATTGAGGTATACAAATCTTATATGTGGGATCAAGGCATCAATAAACTCACTTCATTCCACACTAAAGCCACACCAAGATTCTACCTTATCATGCCCGATAGTTATTGAATGAAACAAATTACAGAAATTTATTTAAGTTTATTGTATTCAACACTAATTACATTGAGCTTACCTTTTAAACATATTTCTAAAAAAGATAGAGAATTACAAAGTACATAGAGAAGATGATAAGGTAATGTATGTCATAAAAAAACACAATTCAATCAAAACAAGAACATTTAGGAAACACTGAGGTCTTAGTCACCAAATCTGCAATTAAGTTCTTCTTTGAACACATGTTCAAGCTTTCTTCACATTCCTTGCTTTTTGATTATGTTGGCTAGCAAAAAAAGTCACAAACCATTTTGGTTTTCCAGTTTGGAAGGCAAAATACCCCATTAGTAGTCCAAACACCAATCCACATCCATACCCTAGCAGCACAACTCTCCAACCAAATTCCCATAACTCATGATCTTTTCCTTGGAAGGAGCCTAGTGGTTGTTGCAGCGTCCCATTTCCATTACCATCACAAGATTTTGTTAATGGAAATCCATATAACCTAGGGTTTCCCTCATACGAACTGTCTTCAAAGGTGTTGAATTGATTACCTTGTGGTATACATCCGTCCAGTTGATTGTTGGAAAGGTCTAGAACAGAAAGTGATGTTAAAGATACCAACTCCTGTGGAATTTCCCCAACTAGTTCATTGGAAGATAAGTCCAACCATTCAAGATTGGTCAAGTTCCCAAGTGAATGTGGGATACAACCATTAAGGTTGTTATGGGAAAGATTAAGTCCTTTGAGAGAACTAAGCTTCCCAATAACTTTCGGTATCTCTCCAGCAAACTTGTTTTTTGAGAGATCAAAGCTTGTAAATATGGTCAAAACTTTTTCCAGTTCGATAATAAATCCTTTCATCGTCACCATTAGTGAATATTCATATGAAAATCTTCCCCCCATGTATTGTGTGGAGTTGTTGCCAACTTTTTGAGCATTTACCATAGCTTTGAGATTTTCAATGTAGTGCACAGGCAAAGGACCGGCAAAATTATTGTTAGATAGGTCCAAAACCCGTAACTTGGTGAAAGATGAATTTGCTTTGGTGTTATGCACAAAACCATAAAATTTGTTTGACCTCAAAACAAGCACTTGTAGCTTGGGAAGTGATTCCAACCAATAGGGGAATCTATCCTTTATGTTGTTGTTGCCGATGTCTAGAACCTCCAACATCCTACAATTCACCAAGGATCTAGGTAATAAGCCCTCCATTTGATTTCCATGCAAATTGAAATTTTGTATTATGCACCCCTTTGGAAACTTTGATGGCATATTTCCATGAAACCTATTCGCCTGCAAATTCAACACTAAAAGATTTTTGCTCAAGTCAAGAAGACAATTTGGAATCATCCCACTTAAGTTATTGTGTGAAAGGTCGAGAATTTCAAGGGAATTAGCTTTGCAAAGTTCAGAAGAAATCTCCCCAGACAAGTGATTGTTTGAGATTAAAAGGTAGATCATTGTGATTGGCAGAACTGGAAATACTCCTTGAAGCTTATTAGATCGAATGTCAAGAATTTCAATGTTCTTCCAAGGGATTTGCTCTAAAGCCATCAAAAAGTTGTTAGAAAGATTTAGATATCCCAAAGTGTCCTTCCCCACATTCCACATCCATTTAGGAATTTGGCCTTCAATCATATTATTTGAAAGGTCTAAATAAACTAGATCACTTGACTCTCTTAAGAAATTGGGAAATTCACTCAAACTAGAAGAAGACAAATACAAGAAAAGTAGTTTGGGGAATGTATAATTGACATTGATATTTGTTTTGCAAGACATATTGTTATTTGAAAGGTGTAACTCTTCTAGATCACTAGACTCTCTTAAGAAATTGGGAAATTCACTCAAACTAGAAGAAGACAAATACAATAAAAGTAGTTTGGGGAATGTATAATTGACATTGATATTTGTTTTGCAAGACAAATTGTTATTTGAAAGGTCTAACCTTTGTAAATCACTTGACTCTCTTAAAAAATTGGGAAATTCACTCAAGTTAGAAGAAGACAAATACAAAAATTGTAGTTTAGGGAATGTGTAGTTGACATCAATGTTTGTTCTCCAAGACACATTGTTATTTGAAAGGTCTAACTCTTCTAAATCACTTGACTCTCTTAAAAAATTTGGAAATTCACTTAAATCACAAGAAGATAGAAGTAGGACTCTTAGTTTGGGTAATGTATAATTGACACTGGTATTAGTTCTCAAAGACAAATTGTTGTATGAAAGGTCAAGATATTCAAGATTTTGAAGTTTTGAAAGCATGTCCAACTCTAATGTACCATTCAAGCCATTTGATGATAAATCAAGAGAACTAAGATTCACAAGATTAGTTATAGAGCTAGGAATTGGACCCTGGACTTGGTTCTCAGACAGAGATAGAAATTCTAAGGAAGGTAGGGTGAAAATCCAAGATGGAATTGTTCCGTTTAATAAGTTAAAACTTAAGTCCAAATGGACTAACTTTGAAAATGTACTTAAATCAAAAGAAATGGGACCAGAGAACAGATTATCTGAAAGAGAAAGGGAAGTAAGTTTTGCGAGGTTGGCAAGTGATGGTGGGATCAGACCACCTAAATTGTTCCATGAAAGGTCGACCATAGTAAGCTGTGATAAGTTCCCTATTGAAGATGGAATGGAACCTTCCAAGCTGCAGCTAAAAAGATTTAAAACTTTCAAT